GACAAAGGAGATTAATCAGAACTGACTTTGACAAGCTCTGTGGCAATTGGACAATTAAAACAGACACTCGGATGGTGGGGAAGAAGAACAAACTGGGGAGGAGGGTATAGAGAATGGTGCAGCAAGGAAGGAATGAAAACCCAAAATCCCTGTAAATGTTCATTAAAACTAATAAAATTTAATACAAAAAAAAAAAAGAAGTGCAGTCAGAATGCTCCTTAAAAGCGAGGTTGGCCACACTGTCTCAGTCTGGATCTGTTAGTAGGAAGGGCCAGTCCCAGAAGAAGGGCATCATGCTTTGTCAAGTCGAGGTCAGGGAAAAAGCGGATGACCTTCAACAGGATGAACTGACATCATGGCTTAAGGACAGGATCAGACGTGACAGCCGTGGTGAGACTGGTGCATGACTGGGCCGCACACGTTTCACTCTGCTGCGCACAGCGGTGACTATGTGTCAGAACTGATCAGTGGCATTGAATTACAAGCAGCACTGTGAAACAATTGGAAATGGTGAAAAGGAGCTCAGGAGAGAGAAAAACAGTGACACCTTTCCAAGTTGGAACTTGTGTCAGATGGGAACCTGCTGGAAATGGCAAAGTATTTCCCACTGAACAAAAGAGTGATAGAAAAGTAGTCAGGCTGCACTCCATCAAAGGCAGAACACTTGCAGGACCCAGAAAAACAAAACAGTCTTGTCAAGCTCTGGCCCTCACAGGCCACGTTCTCTGTGCCAGTGCATGTCCTAAGGGTCACAGACTTGAGAAGACCAGGCAGCACAATTAAGTACACTTGGCAGCCACAAGCCAACCTTGACGAGCATCTTTAACTCGTCCCCCTTCCCATCCTCACTGAGGCCATTTCGATATTCCCCCACCCGGAGAAACCTCTGGCCTTGGAAAGGTCTTCAATATTCATACCAATCTTGTGCGTGGTCATTACCTTATGAGCTTTTCAAAAGCTTCCTTCTCTTTTCGCAAAGCCGTGAGATAGCGCTGTTCCTCAGTCGAGCCTCCATATATGAGAAAATAAACCCTGCAAGTGACGACAGAACACTTAAGAGACTGCACAACCAGAATCTTTAATCTCTAAAAAGAACAGCATCGCATTTGAAATCTGTAACTGAAAGAGGGTGCAAATAATAAATATTTGACTTAGAATAAGAGAGTCCATTAATCACACACTAAAATTAAGCTGATTATGCCCTACCTGTTAGAGGTCTCATTACCACATTTTTATTCCTTTTCAGCAGAAGGAAGAAGAGAGTTCAGGTAAACACTGACGCACAGTTAGGGGAAAGAATCAGATTTTCTGCTCAACTAACAATGAGTAAAGAAAACCAGCACAGAATTACACAAGATTCACTTTTTTTCCTTTGCGCTTCTGCCAAATAATTGTTTATAGAGAGTTGGGTAACAGTTCTGAAAACCAGCCTGTAAAAGTTTGTGTTAGTGAAAAATACACAAATGAAATTTATATGGTCTTTATCTTCACAAGGCATTACTCACTTCTTTTTTATTCCTGTCTTAGTAGCCATCATGCATTTTATGCAAGCACGCGGTCATACAGACTATATCAACCTTCTAGAAAATGAATCTTTGAATGAGGCACCTTCTCAGGCCAGTTCTTCACCTTCTGTCTTCATTTCCCTCTTCCGGTGCTCTATTGGTCTCTTACCTCTCACCTTCCCAGATTAGTCAGAATGTAATGGGACTGTCTTGTTTTTCTGAGTCTCTCAATTTTCTGCCTTTGACTTACCACTTTTTTATCACTCACTTTAGTGGAACATGTATTTGTTTTCTTTCTCAGGACAGATTTCCACCTTACAACCGGTTCTGGCTTTTACAGGTGACTATATTTCTATATACTTTAGGCATGTTGCTAGGAGGGGCTACTCCTTAGAGAGGGATATGATGCTGGAAAGTGTGGAGGGTCGGTGAAGGAGCGGAAGACCTTTGACCAGGTGGATTGATATGGTGATTGCCCCAACAGGCTCTCTTGTGTGTAAGGACATGTGAGGATGGCACAGGACAGGCCAGGTTTCAGATCTTTTATTCATAGTCACTAGGAGTCATACTTTACTAGATGGCACCTAACAACAACAATGGACAAGGAAGAAGAAATCAAGTGGCCTCAGGCTCTCCCACTTACGTGCTGGTGACCAAGGAGGGACAGGCCATTTCCCATCTCTATGCCTCAGTTTCCCAGAGATAGAGTGAGAGGTCACAATCCGAGGTTCTTTCTAATTCTTAAACTTTATGTGCAAATTATCACACTATCTTGTTCTCAGGCAGCAAAGAACTCTGGAGCACACACGTTTAACTGTAGTCCTGATCAAGGGCTAAGTGTGAAAACATTCCTTTACCAGGTTCACCTAACCTCTTCATCCTCAATTATTTCTGATCCACCTCCTCCTTTCAGTTCTACTTTGGAGGGCTGCATTTAAACCATGAGGAAGGTTTAGGTTAGGGTTAGGGTTAGGGTTAGGGTTAGAGATTTGTTTCAGGCTGACATCAGGAGATTAATTTTGCTTTTTATTTTCCTTCAGATAAATAGAGTCATAACACTATACTCTTTGGGAAGCGTCACTTTCTCATCTGATAATTCAGGCAGATTCTTCACCTGGTATTTCTTGAAATGTAAAAAAAACAACACCTGGTTC